TGGTCACCAATCCCAAATAACCCCTCGTTGCCATGTCTGAAGTCCCCAAAAGTCGAGTCTGGATCCGATATCACCAACCCCGGTATCTCTTCTCTTGCAGTCTGCAAATGCAGTGAAGTCAGGGGTTGAGAGGGAGAGGAGGAGATGGTGGACTGAGAAGAAGAGGAAGAAGAACCCTCTCTCTCTCACTGTTACGAACCAGGTACTAACCTGTGATGTGGCGCTGTGCTGCAGGTACCTCGAAGACGAAGCTGGAGCAACGGCGCTGCAGGTAGGTACTCCTGGCCTCCGCCCAAGCTCTCTCTCTCTCTCTCTACCACTATCCTAGCTATGGCGCCTAGCGCTGGAGACTACAGCTACCTACTGCGCCCAGCGCTGAAGACTACAAGATAACGCTACTACTACTCTAACGCAGCGCTCCCTCCAGAGTGCTGCTCCCGAATCCTGAAGACTACAACTGCCGAACTGCCTTTTCTCCTGTAGGGCGGGCCAGTCCTTTATAGTGCTGGCCCGTGCAGGAGGCTGGTCGTGCCAATGCCCTATGCGCAGGAGGCCGTTCTTGCCAATGCCTCCCTGGCCTAGACCCTGCGGAAGCTTCCAGGCAAGAGCCTGGAAGTTTCCCTGTAGGGAAACAGGCTGGGGCCTGTAGGCCCTGTCAGAAGGAAGCTTCCAGGCAAGAGCCTGGAAGTTTCCCTGTAGGGAAACAGGTTGGGGCCTGTACAGCATGTAACATTCCCCCTTCCCCAACACAGGCACCAACGCCTTAAGGCCACATGGGGGGGACAAGTAAAAATCCAGGTAAATGTTTTAGTGGCAGGCAGTCCACAGTAACCCTATGCTTATGGTTGCTATATAGTCGTTGAGTATGTGGTGAACCTCGACTTAACCATGGTATACACATTTACCATGGTCATTGCTACCCTCAGCACCAATTAACCCACCACTCCCTGAGGCGTTCCCACCAGGTTACCACACCCTGGCAGCTGCTACATGTGTGTTTTCAGCTGGTCCACCGAATTCAAGATCCCACTGCATCCTCCTTTTCTTCCTCTGTGGTTTTCAGGCAAAAGGAACCTGGTGTGAATGATGGGGTAGTCATCACCTAGTACGAAAGGTGAAAGTTCTTGGACCTGAGTTCAAATCCACATGGAACTAGATGAATGGAATTCAAACCCCTGTCCCTTTCTACGTCGAGAGAAAGGCGAATGTTTAACTTTTCATACAAAGCCTTATCAGCGTTATCGCCCTTTGTCACTACTGGGCGAAGAGGGACTTTGTGTGTAAGTAGGACGTCCAGATACACACAGTCCTGATTGCTGATGCTTGTGCTGAGGTTTTTCCCTCTTGCTGACTGATACACACAGTCCTGTTGCTGATGCTTGTGCTGAGGTTTTTCGCTCTTGCTGCATGATACACACAGTCCTGATTGCTGATGCTTGTGCTGAGGTTTTTCGCTCTTGGTGCATGATACACACAGTCCTGATTGCTGATGCTTGTGCTGAGGTTTTTCTCTCTTGCTTCATGATTTCTACAGGATTCGATATCTGGAGATTT